GTGTACAAGTTCTTCATGAGTACAATTAAGTGTTCTGGAATTCCCATTCTTTGCAACGTTATCCATAATTTGTTATGATCCACACAGTTGAATGCCTTTGCGTAGTCAATAAAACACAGGTAAACAACTTTCTGGTAGTCTCTGCTTTCAGCCAAGATCCATCCCACATCATCGATGATATCCCTCGTTCCACATCCTCTTCTGAATCTGGCTTGAATTTCTGGCAGTTCTCTGTTGATGTACTGCTGCAACCATTTTTGAATTATCTTCAACAAAATTTTACTTGTGTGATATTAATGATATTGTTCGATAATTTCCACATTCTGTTGGATCATTTTTCTTTGGAATGGGATCTCTTTCAGTCGGTTGGGCAGATAGCTGTCTTCCAAATTTCCTGACATAGACGAGTGAGCGCTTCCAGAGTTGCATTCGTTTGTTGAAACATCTCAATTGGTATTCCATCAATCCTGGAGCTGCTTTTTGCCAATGCCTTCAGTGCAGCTTGGACTTCTTCCTTTAATATCGTCGGTTCTTGATCATATGCTACCTCCTCGAATGGCTGAATGTTGACCAATTCTTTTTGGTACACTGACTGTATATTCCTTCTGTCTTCTTTTGATGCTTCCTGTGTTGTTCAATATTTTGCCCATAGCTTCCTTCAGTATTGCAACTCAGGCTTTTTTTCTTCCATTCTAGCTTGAAAAATGCCAAGCATGTTCTTCCCTTTGGGTTTTCTAACTCCATGTCTTTGCACATTTCATTGTAATACTTTGTCTTCTCAACCTGCCCTTCAAAATCTTCTGTTCAGCTCTTTTACTTCATCATTTCTTTAGCGAGTTTCAAAGTCTCTTTTGACATCCATTTTGGTCTTTTCATTCTTTCCTGTCTTTTTAAGGAGGTAACTATAGTGAATCCAAATCTTTTTAAGAAGGTAGAGATGTTTTGAAAGAGAGGTGCTCACAAAAACAAATGCTGTTTTTCTGCTGCCCCTTGGAGAGTATCTTATTGTAGTCAGATAAAGCTACACGTTTTTCAGAAGTTGGTGATGGGTTTTTTGCCTTTGTCTGGAAGAAATACAGATAGAATGCTCCTTAGAAGCTAGGATGGCCAGGATTTGTCTTGCTTACTTTGGACATGTTATCAGGAGGGACCAGTCCCTGGAGAAGGACATCATGCTTGCTAGACGGTCAGAGAAAAAGAGGAAACCCTCAACGAGATGGATTGACACAGTGGCTGCAACAATGGGCTCAAATATAGCAATGACTGTGAGGATGGTGCAAGACCGGGCAACATTTTGTTACGTTATACATAGGGTTGCTATGAGTCAGAATCAACTCGACGGCACCTAACAACATGGGTAATAACAAATTCTGGCTATTAAACAGTAAGATTATGGGAAAAACACACTAGATAAATTAAGTGCACTGTTTCTTCATAAATTACCTATATGAAAACCAAACCAATAATGAACAGTTCAGAAGTCATATGGTTTACAGGCATTTTAGACAATTTTAAAAACATTTGGGCTCGTAAAATGTTAAATATATTAAATACTATAATTCACACATCAACCCAAAACACCAAACCTGTTGCCATTGATTCCAACTCCTGGTGACCCCATGTGTTAGAGGAGAACTGTTCCGGAAGGTTTTCTTGGCTGTAATCTTTATGAAAGCGCATCACCAGGACTTTCTTCTGCAGTGCCACTGGGTGGGTTTGGACCACCAACCTTTAGTTTAGCAGTTGAACGCAAACAATTTGCACCACCTAGGACCGTAATTCACGCACAGGAGCTAGATATAAATATCTTATGAAAAGGAAGTCTTTGATCAACAGACTGTAAAAAAATAAACATCTGGAGTAATTCTATAACTGAAAAAAACTGAGAATCAGAGAGAACGACTGAGTTGCTTAAGCCCATGTTCTAGAGGGAGCAAAGTCAGATTTTAACCTATGTCTCTTAATTCCTAGGTCAGACCATGTCCACTAAACCACACTCTGTTACACTCGTTAAACAATCGTTGCTGTTCAACAATTACACTAAAAAAGTGGCATCCCTATGGGCTGTTGGCCAAAGACACAGAATAGCCTGGATCTATCAGTCACTAAAACACCATTTTATATGCTCCTTTTTGATGATCATAGCACAAGAGGCTCAAGATTCAACCCAAAGGGCTAGCAAATCAAACCAGATTAACAGAACATTAAGAAAAAGCCACCTTAGGAAAATGTTAGATCTCATGGGAACTTAGTTTGGAATAGCTGTTGGTGAAGCAGGAACAGCAAGAGTGACAGTGTTTCACAAACGTTGTTGCTGTTAGCTGCCATCAGGTTGGCCCCCAACTCATGGTGGCCCCTCGCACAACTGGATTGGATCATTGTGATCCATGGAGTTTTCACTGCTGGTTTTCTAAAGTAGATTGCCAGGTCTTTTTTCCTAGTCCATCAGTCTGGAAGCTCCGTTGAAACCTGCTCAGCATCATAGCAGCATGTAAGCCTCCACTGACAGCCAGGTGGTGGCTACACAGGAGGTGCACAGGCCAGGAATTGAACCTGAGTCATCCAAGTTTGAGTCTTCTCAAATATTAGGCTCCTGTTATAATCAGTTATTGGAAAATTTACCTGAAATCTCTTTCCTTAAGCCTGAAAATTTGTATTTCTTACCAGAGACGAACATGAAAAGGCAAGAGGGGAAGAAGAAGACCCCCCAAGATATTTAGTATAAAAATATTTCTTTATAAGTAACTAGCAACTTAAAATTGTGACAGAGGGGATAATCCCAGTGTGGACTGCTTATATCTTTGAGAGCAGAATCTTAATTTAATCTATTCACTGGAGGCAATTCAAACTTGGAGGATAATACTGACAGTTTTGAGATTCATATTTTACTTACAAGTAAGTGAAGAACATTTCTTGTAAAGTCTAATTTGGGGTAAGGAAAGCAATATAAAAAAGTAACTGCTGGTTCCACAGTGATGTGGGAAAGGAGTCCATGCCACTGTTTCTTTAAACAATGATTTTGTTATTTAAAAAAAAAAAAAACAAAAAACAAAAAGCCACATGATTTCTTCATGTTGCATAAGTGAAGGAATTCAAAATAAAAATGACTTTTCAAAATTCTACAGTCTCTGGTCAAAGGTGACCAGGACGTCACTTTCATTTCAGTGACAGCTCCTATCCCCCAGAGCAACTGCCCTTGAGGAAAGACTTAATACTCATCCAGAGTATCTGCTCGAGGAATGGAGAGACCTCGATCCTTCAGAGCCTGAACTTTCAGCTTCTCTGCTTCCAGCTTGGTCTGCTGTTCCACCCTTTGTTCTTCTAGGATTTCTTCAATAGACACTTGCTGGAGGGGTGTGTCACTCTCCTTTTCCAAGTCCTACAAAACAAGCAGGTTTGAAAAATGTCACCTGAAGACCAAGAATAAGAAAACATTACATGTCTAAATGCAAATGGATTCTTACATTAGGCTTGGGTTATTTTTCTTAACTGTGACAGGGCTGAAATATCCTTCCCCCTAGGGACAGTTAAGTTTTTCAAAGAAAAGGCTAGCAACACTACTACAGAATACTAACTTAATATAAATATAAATGTGGTAATAGGGATCAGTATCAGTGTGTATAACAAAGCTTTTGTTGTTGTTAGTTGGCACTGAGTTGATTCTGTGTGCAGAACAGAACTGCTCCATAAGGTTTTCAAGGCTGTGACCTTTTCAAAGAAGGTCACCAGGCTTTACTTCTGAGGCACCTCTAGGTGGGTTTGAATCATCAGCCTTTCAGTTAATAGTCCAGTGCTTAACCATTTGTGCCACAAAGGCTCTTAACAAAGCTTTAGGTTATCCAAAATTCTAGTTAGTCAAGAACTAACTTTACATTAGTCAAGGATGAACTTTTCTTAAAGCAGCTATCTTCCCAACCCCAGAGAATCCAAGAGAGAAGTTACTGAGACCAAAATGACTTTAGATATGCTTCGTACTTTTACATTATCAAAACCAGATTAATATCTGGGGGCTGTTTCTCAGTAAGAAGGTAGACAGCACTGATTCAAAGCAGCACACACACCCCGCCCCCCGCCTTTAAAGGCGATAAACTGCCCTTTGGTTGCATTAATCATGAGTCTTTAAATTATAACCTGTTCCTGTTGCCACTGAGTTGATTCCAACTCACAGCAATCCTACAGGACAGAGCAGAACTGCCCTGTAGGATTTCCAAGGAGCAGCTAGTGGATTCCAACTGCTGACCTGTTGGTTAGCAGCTGACCTCTTAACCACTGTGCCACCAGGGCTCCTAAATTGTAACAGAAGACCGCTTTTCCATCTATGGCAACGAGACCTCTAGAGAAAACCTTAGCAGACCAGCTAGGCTACTAAACCAGTTTGGGCCCAATATATTTCTCCACTATTTTAACTCTTTGCTTAATTTAAAAAATTATTTTTTTCCTTATTTTAAAAATATATTCTCATTGTAGGAAATTTAGAAAAAAGACAAGTAGAAAAAACAATTTTTAATTACCTATAATTCTGGTATGGAGAGAAAACATTTTGATGACTATCCTTCCATTTTTCTAGGTATATACTAACTTAAAAAAAAAACCCCACAATGCAAATATTGACTGTGAGGTTTTTTTTCACTTAATATGACATAATATGCTTACTATTTTTATTTCTGAACACTTTACAAACATTTAATAACAAACTTCATAATGCAGAGGAACCTTGCTATGAGTTTCTCACTATTCACAGACTGTTTATTCTCCTTAAAATACACAGATCCTAAATACAGGTATTATTCTACATTGTTGTATCATGGAAAGCCTATACAGACGGGTGCTCTTGTTTCTCACCCTTTCTCCTCTATGACTTTCAAGTATACAATTTTGGTAAGGCATAGACACATACAAACTCCAGATGTCCCAACCTATCAACTGGATACTCATCTTCACATGCTGCCAAGGTCTCAGAACCCACAGGCAGTGGCATATCAGATACAGGACTTTCACCACAGAGGTTAGAATGAAAGCCACCCAAATTACATAAGCTAGCCCCTCCGTGTGTCAAAACTCAACAGCACCCAGCAAGATATATATTGTCACGTGTAGCCTGCTCTAATAACCCATGGGTAGTCGCTGAAGGGAAGACAATGTTCTTAGCTTAGTGTACTGCCTCTTGGGTTTTTCAATATGTTATTCATTGAGTCAGTTGTTATGATGCTGCTTCCCAATAATCAGATGTGTTACTTAAGGCTGTACACATCATTATCCTTGAGGCAGAATCCAGAGACTTTTTAAGCAATGTATTTGTTTATAGAATCTACATGGTTTCTGGGTATGAGTTTTCCTGGAGTTGGTACATAATTTCTTCTGACTGTTGAGTCATATGATTATATAAGCATTCCCAAATCACGTTTCTCTAGTGATGCCGCTGTAAAAATTCTGCAGCATCCAAACCATAACACATATATTTAAAAAAAAAAAAAAGAGTATTTTTTCCCCACAAAAGGATCCTAGGAAACAATGATTTTTCAAGAACAAACACTTTTTTCTCCTCTCATACACATCTAGCTATGGGCACAACTGTGCCAATGTAACTGGCACAAAAAGCACAACTGTTGTGTTTATTACTATAAAACTGAAGCAAAGTACGTATAAATGTTTTAACTTAAATCTTTTCCCCTGATATCAAAGTAATTTGTTCCCTCTTTAAAAATTAAATACAAAAAAGTATTTTAAAAAAAAAAAAAATCACGCATAATCCCAGCACCCAAAGATGGGTTGGCTTCTCCTACTATGCTAGTAGACTATAGTCATTTACTAGTGCCCCTGCCCCCATTCTAAAACCATAACTTAAACCTGTTGCCATTGAGTCAATTCCGACTCATAGGAACCCTATAGAACAGAGCAGAACTGCCCCAGAGGGTTTCCAAGGAGGCTGATGGATTTGAACTGTTGACCTTTTGGTGAGCAGCTGATCTTTTAACCACTGTGCCACCAGGACTGTGCGCCCATACTAGGTTGCTTTATTTCAGTCTACATAAAACAAGGTACAAGGAAATGACAATTCTGATGCTTAAACATGCAACAAATAAATTTAACCAAAAGTATCTACCACGAAAATATTTTGGAAAGAAAAGAGTATTTCATACATTTCACAACAGCACTTGTACAGTATTGATTTATTAATTAGTCATCTCAGCTGTTTCTAACAGGAGGTCTCAAACCAACCTGAACCTGGCAGAATTATCTCATTTTCTCTAATGGGTTATTGTTAAAAACAGCTACAAACCAAACCACTCCAAAGACTTCCATAAATTTTCTTTAAGATTTAGCTAGGTATTGAGAAACTCTATTGAAAACTTTAAAAACAAAGAAAAAAAATAAGCAAATGTGGTAAGAAATAGGAAAATAGTGCTGGTTTAGCCCTTAATTTCAACTAGCCTTAAAGGGATTTTTTTTTTTCCCCTGGCAAACCCAATATTCACAGCAGTAGATCAAATCAAAGGTTTTAAATAAGGTCCTTTTAAAAAGTAAATATTTCATGTAAAACACGAAATCCAGTGCTATCTTCTTCTACTTCAAAAAAGTCTGAATACTTCTAACAGTTTTATGTATATAAAAGTTTTCAAATACCTTTGTCCATATGTGTGTGTATCTATATATTCATATACAATAAATAAAAAAATACATACAGCAACACTTCAGAAGATTTGGTTTAACCTTTCACCTGCCAGCTGGTCTTCCTGGCACAGATACACTGGTACCTCCCTCCTTGGCATTGAGCTAAGGATCCAAGGGAAGCTGAGCTCCACTCTCAGGATGGGTAACAGACAGGTCTCTCCTATAGTCATTTTCTTTCCCCTTTAAAAAATATGGGTATCACGGGACAGGAAACCTGGACGAATGGACATGGCGAACCCGGGGTATAAAGGGAAAGGGGGAGAGTGCTGACACATTGCGGGGATTGCAAGCAATCTCACAAAACAATCTGTGTATAAATTTTTGAATGACAAACTATTTGCACTGTAAACTTTTACCTAAAATACACACAAATATGGATATCCCACTGCATATGCAATGTGCCCTTCCCCCAACCACCACTAGTTAACCTTACATAATAAAAAACTATCTGTAACCAATTGTTTAAATGACTGTAAAATATTCAAACATATGTAAATCATACTTTACTGAATTATTCTCTTGCTAGGCATCAAGGTTTTTCAATTTTCTGCTACTATAGATAACAAAAATAATGTATTAATGAACATATTTGTATAGGGCAGTATTTTTTATGGAATCAGGTAAGGCAATGTTTTTTGCTACCAATGGGATCACAATCTTTAAAATACCAAAAGGCACTGAAACAAAGTTAATTTTCTCTCTAGCTTCCCTCTGTACAACTATACCTTTCTTAATTTGGTGGTTGTCTGGGAGAAGCTACGTAAAATGTGGAAAATATATTTCCCCCTCTTGAAAAGACAAAAAGAAACATAACTAGTATGAATATAAAAACCCACAGCAGCTTAACAGTGTTCACTTACTATTTCTCCTAGCAGGACCACATTTTCTCCTCTGACCACAAAAATCCCTCGAGGAATATCACCGTATTTTTTGCCCACATGAATACGCTCCACAGTCTGATGTAGCACTAAGTTAGCTATAAATGTATAGGGAAGAAACAAAGATATTTAGTTCAAATTATTGGGTAAAGGTCCATAACTCAATCACAGTTGTTATGAGTAGAAAAGATTTAGCCTGACATAATCTATTTCTAATTCTGGGAAAAGCTAAAATGTCAAACAATCTTCTACTATTTTGAGTAAGACACATCCTTCAGGAGAACGTTAAATAACTACAGACTGGAAGAGTATCTGGGATTATGCTGCACTAATACATGAGTAAGTCCAGAAAGTTAAATCTCTTTATCAGTTAATTGCTAATATCAGCATAGCCGTAAGAAAATATGAGTAGGGGACTTGAAAACTCTAAAGCCTAAAAAACTGCAGAGATTAAAACTTTAGTTTTAGAAAGAAACAGTTTTTCTATGTTGTGTGGGTATGTGTATGTGATGATGTACCAAAGATTTAACTTTGTTTTAGTACTTAACAGGATTCATTTAACCTAATACAGATAACCATGGTTTATGAACCCTAATCAGTTAAGAGTAATTTTTCTTCTTTCAACTGGATACTACTTGTCTTTGAAGAAAAGCCGAAATTTATGCTCTGATCTTTTATAATTCCTTTAATTTCAATTAGTAAGCTGTTTTTCCTCATGCCCAAGTTTGGTGGCCTAAGGTTCAACAAATGTCAATGTGAAATGAGAAGTCCTTTGAAACAAAAGGAAACATATCTCTTACTTTAGAAAAATATAGGATGCAAAACAAAGACTGAGACTCCTGAGTCTGACGTATCCCTATGTGTAAAATTTTGAGCTTCGTGTTGCAGTCCCTAAAAGCTTCAGAAAATGCCTTCTACCCAATTTTCATCGGACAGGGAGGGATTACCTTCAGTGCAGCAACTGCTATGAAGAGTAGTCGCACCCAAGCCAATGTACAAATGAACAGCTTTTTCAGTGGACTGAGCTTATTTCTATCATTTGGCTCCCTCTAATGGGGGAAATAAAAAAATAGTCTACAACATTGTAATCACATATTCCGGTGAAAACCAGTTTTAGAAACACAAACTTGTAAATATACAAGCTTTCTGAACCACCTATTCATAATTTAGAAAACAATGATGTATTGACTCAAAATAGCGTTCCATTATGCCAGACAGCTGAAAAAGAGTTACAGATAAAATTTCAACATGAAATCTCACACACACACACACACACACACACAAAAAAAATACGAAGGGCAGCGATTACTATCCAGAGTATAAGAGAAGGACAAGTCCGTAAGTGATACATACCAAATTGATCAATGCTTCTTAAAAAGCCTATAAGTGTCCTTCCATCTCGAAGCAGGACCAAGTGCTTTTCTGGGAAGAGAAAAAAAGAGATCTTCAGAATGAGAACTGTTATCTTCAGCGAGTTTACAGGGAAGCAGCAGAAATAAAGTTAATAGCAGTTTTGTAGATGCAGCACTTCCTCTTCCAATGTAGCTAAAATGGAGTTCATTTGAAAAGTGGAGAGAGAGCCGAGACAGCCTGGGATTTAGAAGATTAGTGGTGAAAAAAATCAGCGTAGTATAGTAATGGGAAGGACGAGACTGGCTCTATACCCTGATGTTTGACACTTAAACCTTCTCAGTGTTGGTTTCTTTTCTTTTTAATTGTGCATTAGGTGAATGTTTACAGAGCAAATTAGTTTCCCATTTGATAATTTGTACATAAAATGTTTCATGACCTCGGTTTCATTCCCCACAATGTGTCAGCACTCTCCCCTCTCCCCATTTCCACCCTGGGTTTCCCATTTTCTTTCGGCCTGACTTCATACCCCTTCCTGTCTTCTCATCTTTCCTTTTGGGCAGATAATGCCCTTTTAATCTCGTATAATTGATCGTTCTAGGGAGTATGTTCCTCCCAGGTGTTATGTGCTTGTCTATTGTTTGGCTAGGAGGTGGTTTCCAGGAATGGCTTTGTTCCAGGTGTCAGTTTCTACATTTGCAAATTAAGAAATTTAGTCTAGATTGTCTTTAGATCTTAAATCTAGAATAATTTTCCCCTCAATTTAAAAGATGAGGTTCTATCACACACTTTGGGATTTAAATAAAAACAATGCCTAGACATTTAAAATAGGGACTCTGAGAATAAGCTGGAACAGAAATTCAATATTTATTGAGAGCTACGTGCTTTTCTGGGGTTTAGATACACAGCAGAGAATAAGACTCAGAAAGTTACCAACCTTATGAATTTTTATTTCTGATAGGGAAAGACAAATAAGAAAATTATCTATCGTGATTAGTACAATGAAAGAAGAAACAAGAGAGCAGGGTAGTATGATGAGGAGAGAGGGGAAGTAGCTACAGAAGAAAAGCTGGTGAGAGAAAACTTCTCTGAAGAGGTGGTTCTGAGCTGACATCTGAAGAATGAGAATAAGCCAGTCACTAGAAATGCCAGTAATTCATTTCTTTAATGCCACGTATAAAGTACTTTCTAGAAGCAGAACATAGGAACAAGATAGTGATTCTGCCCTGAAGGAATTTATAGTCTTCCTTGAGCTCTAATTAAGTACCAAAAGCAAGCAATTTTTAATTATAGGAGACGTCAGAGAGAGAAACTATATCTAGCTGGAGGAGATATCTGAGTTGGATCCTGAAAGGCAGACAGTTTTTGGGCATGGAAAGAGTGACAGGGAAGGAGAAATCAAGGGAAATCTATAAATGAGGCAGAAGAAAAAAAGGGCTGAAAGTTGAGAGTGTGAAGAGAAATAACAGGAGATGAAATCAGAAAGGGGCCAGGCTGAGTTTGGACTTTATTTCATCGGGAACAAGAAAACACTGAAGACTGATCAGGCAGAAAAGGGAGAGCAGTTAGGAGGCTATTTCCAGATTATATCTGACACATGAAGAAGAGAACTGAATCAAGGTACAGAGACGATAAAAAGGCTAAGACTGTACAGGTAGAAGTGATGGGATTTGCTAACTGAGTTTGTGTTGTGGTATGTGTGAGTGGGTGGGGGTGTTGAAGAGGTGAATTAAAGAAGATATGAATTTTGAGTCATCATGTCAAGAAGGATTATTTACCAAAAGTTGGGAATAAAAAATCAAGCTTAGGGAGGAAGGTTATTACCTGTTTGTGACACTGAAGTGCTATCAGGACATCTAGGTAGAAAGTCAGCAGGCAGTTGGAAATGAAGGACTGGAATGCCAAAGAGGTCAGAATTAGAGCAATTCTGGACAATCCACAAGGAGGTGATTTAATTATTATAGTCCAGGTCTCCTAGATATTTAAAGAAAGAAGCAGACCAAAGATGAAATCCAAGAGACTGCCTATTTTAGGGAATAGTAGAAGTCTGAAAAGTAAGAAAATCAGCAAGTACCAGTGTCAAAGAAGTCAAGAGAACAGAATTAAGAATGTCGTGGTGATAATGAACAATGCTGCAGTGAGGAAGAGAATTCAGAAGAGTGCATTAGAGCTGCTGATTGATGACTTTGAAGAAAGCAGCTTCAGTAGGGTGGTGATGACAAAAAAACAACAATAGATTGCAGGGGTAACAGAAGTGATCTGTTACCAAAACAAACAAACAAAAACAAACCCACTGCTGCTGAGTCAATTCCAACTCACAGTGACCCTACAGGACAGAGTAGAACTGCCCCATAGGGTTTCCAAGGCTGTAATCTTTACACATCTTTCTACAGCAGAGCAGCTGGTGGGTTTGAACTACCTACCTTTGGGTTACCAGCCAAGCACTAAACCACTGTGCCACCAGGCATCCTTGTGGTCTATCACAGGTAGTCAGAAAGCAGAGTCAAAACAGAGATAACTAAAGAGGTTTGGGGGTGAAGATATGAAAAAAGGGATGGAGTTTGATGGGGAGACACAGCTGAGGAAAATGTTTGAGCATAGACAGACAAGAACATACATGAAGGGAAGGATCCAGGAGGAAAGAGAGATAGAAGAGAAAAAAGGATATTAATGAAACAAGGTTCCAGAAGAAGTGGAAGGAGAGCGTAAATATATGCACAAACAGAACGAAAGGAATACTATCTACTCAAATGAGGATCGATGAAGATACAGAAAGACTGAGGAGACAGGAGGAAAATGTATGTGTGGGGGAGCTGGGTGCATTATCAAACAGCTTCAAACTTCTAGGTAAAGAAAGGGTCCTGATATGATTAATATAATCGATGTCACTAAATTGTATGACATGGGGGGCTATGAGCTGATACAACAACAAACTGTACATATGAAAAATGTTGAATTGGCAAAAAAAAAAAAAAAAAGGGAGGGGGCATGGAATCTACACATAGGTAGGGATTAGAGACCTGAGAATAAAAATGATTTTTAGTAAAATGGCAGGATGTGTTAGGGACCTCAAATAATTTAGATATATAACAAATGAGGTGAGGGAAAAAGGGCATCCTCAGATAACTAAAATCATTACACATTACAGACAGACTTGCACAGTGGTTATTCATTTATGGATTTGGTCCAATTTACACTACATTTCCCTTCAATAGCAAAATAACTAATCTGGATTAAAAAACTGATTGCAGACAACCATAAAAGAATTTAATCATAGACTCGCTGCAATTTGCATACTCTCAGCAACAGACAATAACAATAAGAGACTGCTGTGACTTGTCTGGAGTTGTTTGTAAACCATTCTGCAGCAATTACAAGTTAATGAGACAAATCACACGATTAAAATGATAAAACATGTTGCTTGAGGAATACTCCACAGAGAACAAGTTTAGAAAAAGGAAAGACAAGACAACTGCTAAGTAGCTTCTCTTACTTTTGTACAGGACTGAGCTCCCCTTTAGGGTAGTAAGTAGGAAGAAGGGAGGTGCCAGTAAAAGTAGAAGAAAATTGTCTAACAGAAAAAAAAGAAGTTTGAAGTGACTCAGTCTTTCCAAAAATATCAATACCATCTCTAGCACTGGTCTCTCCTACCATAACCTGAAAGTGCTTAAGAGCTTCACGATAAAAGAAGATTGCATGGGTTACATCAGAATAAAGGCTCCGTTTAATTGACAATTAAGTCCAACTGGTGTTGTTTCTCGATGGATCGTTTCTCTAAGTATTCTTAACCATCCTTTGGTAACCTAGTACAGTACTTCGAAATATTGCAGGCGGGAGACAGTGGGCGGGGAAGAAGTCTGCTAGGACACTTTCGTGTTCAGGCCTCGGCTGCCCCGTTCCTCCAACCAGGAGTGAATTCCACAGCTCCGGGACTGGCGGAGGCTGGGGGTGGGGTGGGGTGCAGAATAAAGGTAGTAGGGTGTGTGGGGTGTCATG